GAGTAGCCACTGTATTCAGAAAAATGGAGATTCTGAGTAGAGCAGCTGCATTTGAGAATGGTGGTGTAGGTTAAGGTAGGTTCTTGGAGCAATTTGCAAGTGTCAACCTGTCATTGTAAACATCTTCAGGATAAGGAATATAGTCTAATTTGCTTATTACTGCCAGTTCAGTATGACTTCGGGAGGAGTTATGTTTGTTGACCACAGTCTGACTTGGAACCTTGATCTGAACATTAGTTTGCGGATTCATTTCCTACAACCATGCTGTGAAAGATGCAGAATAGTTAAAAAGTGATACACGAGCTTGATAAAGTACAAGCAATATTTCAGGATACTTAATCACAGTGAAAGCAATCTTTACTGAATATTAAATATTCCCTTGAAGAATGCAAAGACTGAGTGTTTGACATAAGAAAAAAGATTGTATTTGAGATCTATGATATGGAAAGAACACTGATTTATGGTACGGTATGCTGGCTCCTGTAAGGATTTCTATCTATGTGTTCATATTGTACTCCAGCTGAATTTTGTCTTATTACAGAAGTCTTCTATATACTATATAAAAAATAAGTTATTTCATGGCAGTAGGATTTAACTTTTTGGTATGTGGTGTTGCATCCACAGTTGTACCCAACTTACAAAATTGTAAATTCAGTATCAATTTTTAATTGCTTACTGACAGTTTTTAATATGGCATAATTATTTGAAGTAGTACCCACAGGGACTTCAAGATCTCTTTTCTGGCTGATAATATCAGATTCGTGAGCCTGTCATTCTGTACATACACATGAGTAAAACTATAATAATATGGTATTACTTTGCATTTACTAATTTTGAATTTTTATTCATGGTTGCCCAGCCAGTTGATATCAGAAAAATCTTCACAACTCTCAGTAGTTGGTGGATTTTAATTGCATTTAGTGATTTCTGGTTCTTCAGTAAACTTTGTGCTTCCATTAGTATCAGCACATGTTACCAGCTCATTATCACTGTGGTTCTTCGCTGATCACCTCCCCATGTTGTGAAAACTGTCTACCTACTATCTTCCTTGGGAAATGCAGGTGCAGAAATGTCGTTAGAGGATACATTTTTGTAGTGAATCTTTTACTTCTTTTGTTGGCTGAATTGCATTCGATTGTGCACATTTTAAAGAAGAGTTTGTTGCTTTGTATTACTTCTTGAACACAATTTAACCATGTTAATTTATTTCTGTGTACTCACTTCATTTTTGTTTAGATTTTCCTAGTCATCTGAAACTACTTTTATCATGACTGTTAATATTTTTATTTCATGATGGTTTTTAGGATGACTACCTTAAAGAAGTTACTCTCCCCCGCTTTCCTAAATTTTTGCCATCATTGCTAATTAGTTCATTAATTTGTTTCCTTTATTAAAGAAGTTGATTTTAATGATAATTATGATCATTGTTAGTGGCTTGAAATATGCTTAAACTGCAGTTATGGGCAAATAGGTACATTTTAAAATGTACAAAGTTTTCTTTGATGAAATAAGAAGTCTCTGTGATGGACTATAAATCTCTTTCTGGCAAATGGACAAATATCCTACTGGATAGTTTGTAGCCCAGTAGAAGATTCTCCATAAAACCAATTTCATTAGCATTCAGTGTATTTTGATACAGATTTGCTGAGATGTTTTATAAAGAGAGACAGCTTGTTTTTAACAGTACTGATATATCCCATCACTTCATACCAATATAGAAACTGTTTCAGTCTTTTAAATGTTACATATTAGTATCTTGATTTATATTAGCAAGCAAATACAGTTTGAATTATTTTAGCGTCTGTAATGAATTATTTGCATAGTTTTACTCATTCTATGTTAGCTTATTACTTTAGCAAGAATTTTACAATGAATAGTGTTTGAGGAAAGGGGATCAGTTTTATTACACCTCTTAATTCCAACTGAAGCATTACTGGATTTTTCCTTGTTTTTAAGTCCATGTTATCAAAAACAAATGGTGGGATTCATCTCACCTAAATTTGGTATCTGAAAGTTGTGTATCTAAATATTAACATAGAATTGTTGAAGCTGAAACAAAAGTCTGGAGGTTCTCTTATCCAACCCTCCTGCAAAAGCAGGGCCAACTAGAGCCAGTTGTCCAAGTCTGTGAGCAGATGGCTTTTGAATGTGCCCGGTATTGAAGACTCCGCAAATACAATTTTTCATCCTAGATTTCCTCCATGGAAAGAAATGGAAAAAAGTAGATACTTCCAGAAGGTGTTTAATTTCATTTTAGGATAAGCATCTAAGTGAGTTCAATTGAATGTCTTCTACAGGTGCTTGTTTTACCGCTGTGTGTTTTTAACATAATATCAGAGAGGCTTATCCAGGTGAAGAGATATCTGAAAACGCAACAACCCAGATTGCTGGTGAAGTGTGCACCAGTTGCTGTGTTTTCAGAAATAGAAACTCCACCTTTTCTTGAAAAGAGAATAAAAACTCTGTTAAATTAATTTCATTATTCTAAAGAATGACCATAGAAATTCTGTGCCTCTAATATTGAAATTTTTTTTGCCTTCCCTTGGTACACATTATGTGTTTACCAAATATGCAAATATGTGATATGCAGTCACAAGTTTTAAATTAAAGTACTGTTATTGTTTACCTTGGCTGAACGCCAGGTATTCACTGGGCCTGTGCCCAACCTCCCTATAGAGGGAAAGGGGAGGAGGAAAGAGGGAGAAGAAGGGAAAAACTACGAAAACCGAAATGGCCAAGAAAGATGGCTTTATATGTACACAGAGAGAAAAAAAATTATAAAACTATACACATGGAGAAGAACTAACAACAAAGATTATTTCCCCACAACAAACGCTCTTCTCCCCCGAAGAAGCAGCCCGTCCACCACCACGCAGCTATCCGGAAGAGAAGAAAACCCTTACTTCCTTCCCGTCATTTATATCTGAGCTGATGTAACATAGTATGGAATATCTTGTTGGTAAAATATACATCAGGTGATCTATCCTAGTTCCCTTTCCCTCTCAGAGAGGGTAACAAACCCATTACAAGTACTAATTATAATTAGGTTAATAGTTTTATTTGAATGCAATTAAGTATCTCAGGAGAACTAAGAAGGTAGTCAATTTATATATTTAGCATATTAGAAGTTATTATGTTGGAAAATTATAAATTGCCTATTAGCAATTAATTGATAGAGAAAAAGTAATTGGAAAGTGAATGAAAAGTATGAATTAGGGTGGGACCCAAAGCTAGTACTTGCTTAGTTGTATTAATTTTATCTGAAGATTGGGTATGAAGAAAGTCTTTGAATATCTGGATAGGTTTAGCCATCAAAAAAAAGTTTGCATAGTATTTCAACTTATTTCTTTTTTGGAGTTTAATTTGAAGGCAATATCAACTGCTTTTAAGTAGGCTATAGAACTGCCTTCTGTTAGAGGTGACTGTTGAAATTATGCACTTGTAAGAGATTAATTCTTTGAATATCTTTAATATCTTTAATTAAAACATGTTATTGCAATTTTAATTGTATTACTTCATGAAACAAACAGGAAAGAATGTCTTAGAATAATTTTAGAATTAATTTCTTTTTCTATTTTTTATAATATATCTGCAGTTACTGAAATGACTTACTGACAGGCTGAGAGAGTTGAGTTTGTTCAGCCTGGAGAAGAGAAAGCTTCAGGGAGACCTTATATCACCTTCTAAAACCTTAAGGGGGCCTGCAAGAGAGCTGGAGAGGGACTTTTTACAAGGGCGTGTAGTGATAGGATGAGGGGGGAAGGTCTTAAACTGAAAGAAGGATGGGTTTGGATTAGATATTAGGGAGAAATTCCTTACTATAGGGCTGATGAACTGGAACAAGTTGCCCAGAGAGGTTGTGGAGGTATTCAAGAGGTGGCTGGATGGGACCATGAATAACTTGGTCTAGTAGAAGATTCCCTGCCCAAGGCAGCAGGTTTGGAACTACGTGATCTTCTAAGGTTCCTTCCAACCCAAACCATTCTGCGATTGTATGAAATGTAACATTTGTGCTTTCAAAATTCTTCAAGTTACTAGGATAAAGTAGGATGCATGAGAGTCAGGCTTTGTTTCCTTAAAAATTGAAAGGTTTTTGCCATTAAAAGGAGAATCTTTTTTTTTAAACTAATCTGAATAATTCAGTAGGGTCTTTTGAGTTCACCTTTTTTAAGTTACATAGGTGACTGATCAAAATTATTGAATTCCATTCCTGAAGATATATCTGACTATATCTTCTTTTGGTGTTTTTTTCCCTCACTCCTAATACAGGCCTGGTAGTTGTGCTATTTAATTAGAGCTCAGGACTGTGGATAGTGTTTTGCAAGTATCTGGATGGACAGGAGTCAGCTGAGTGCTTGTGCCTTTCCTAGTGCAGTCTCTCCCTTTCACCAGGAGTAGGTTTCCTTGACCTCCCAGTGAGCTGATCTGTGATATAATTACGCAAATTTGCTGCGTCTGTGTTGGTCCAGAGCAGATCACTGATTCTTTTTCTGGGCATGACTACACGACTGTTTGGGTGGGACAATGGAAAGGGCAGTAAGGTCTTGCAAATACGTAACTAAGGACAAATGCTGGCTTATAGCCAGAGAAAAAGCTAAGGTATCTCAGGTGTCCTCTGAGAACGGTAGAAAAGCCTCAGTTGCTTTTGAGCTTTTCAGGTTCTGCACTACATCTGTCTGAGCCAGGCTACCATTTCAATTACTTCATAGAGAGGAATATTTCAAATATATTTTGATTTGATTTGATTAAAATGTTACATTCAGTACTGTGACCAAATTGAAGGTAGTATTTTATGGTATATTTTATGTGTGTATTTTTACAAGCTTTGTTTTATATACCATGATTGTTAATTTGCTCTTAGAGAGCATAGCTGTGAGTTTCTCTTATCAATTTGCCTCTCTCATCATGTAAAATATATTCAGTATTGGTCACAATGAAGGTATGAAAGACACTAAACAATGTATTTCACAATGTAATGCTGTTCTTGTTTTCCTTTTTAGCTGGTTGGTGGCGAATTTGATCTAGAGATGAACTTTATAATCCAGGATGCAGAGAGCATTACATGCATGTCAGAGCTTTTGGAGCACTGTGATGTAACGTGCCAAGCAGAAATCTGGAGTATGTTCACAGCAATTCTACGTAAAAGTGTGCGTAATTTACAGACTAGCACAGAAGTTGGCTTAATTGAACAGGTACTGCTGAAGATGAGTACTGTGGACGACATGATTGCAGGTAAAAAATTGCCAACTGATAAAATATTATTCCATTCTGGAACTGCCAGTGTTTTGTGATTATGAGAGGGTGTGGGATGTCTTGGTTTTTACTTAAAGTGATATTTTGGTTAGTACTGCTATTGAGTCAGAATTACTATTTTATCAATTTCAGGAAAGCGACAAAAGTATATTCTTAGTCTAAAATATATGTAGATACATTGTTAAAAATAACTGCCTGTTAATTCATCTGAGAAGATAATGTTATCTTGGTGATAAAAAAGCAATTTTTAATATAATTAAAAACTGTACAGTTAGACTTCCTAACTATAAGGTAATATTTTGGCTTTATAGTGCATTGATTATTTTTAATTATTTGGATGTTAGAATTATTATGGTCCATTTTAAACATAACCTCATCTTATAGCATATCAGAAATTATTCATAGGTTTCAATGCTGGACATATAAATTATGTTAAACAATCATTTCCTAATGTATAGCTGTGATCCCTCCCATATCTCTTAATTTTTTATACATGTGGCTTTTAACATCCTATAACTTTTTGTGGTGTTAAAAAGATAGCATACTTTGTTTGCTTACTGAAAATAAGTGATGAGGTTATTGCACAGCTAAGGTTTTCAGAGTATGTTTGAAGGAGTTTATGCTGTTCCATACTACATCCTCTCAGTAACAGGGTACAGATTGTAATCCTGGATTACTTGGTTAGAGGAGTAGGGTTGGTTGTCACATTTAAGTATGGCAGCTGAAGAGATACATATGATTGTATTTATTTTCCTTGAGGGGGAACTTAGGCAGTTTCTTTCAACTCAGTTTGAAAGTAGTTCGTAATTTTTATATAGTTTGTGACTGATAGGATAGTTAAATTGTGAGGCACTTTGGAAAGATTGAAGATGTTTACCTTTATTAATTCTAAGGTTTTAGTTGATGATTTGATTCCTGACACATAAACAGGTTTTGTGGAACAGTGAACTAGCAAGGATTTCACATGAGAAGGAAGAGGAGGATAACAGCAGCATGAAAACTGGATTACTGAGGAATGATTTTGTCCTTGACTTTTCTTTTTTCCCAGTATAAGGGTATCTGTAATATTAAGTATTAGGAAAAGCTACATTCTATTTTTCAAAGCAAGTTATAATCAACATCTTGTTGATTAGCAATGTATATGTAAATGCTAAAATTAGAAGTGTTATGCTAAATACTGTACTGTGAGATTCAGACTGAAGTATAACAGACCAATAGATTCACAAATTATGTGTTTCACCAAGTATGGGTTTTTTTGCAGTACTTGTAAATGTGTGTTATGGTTTAGAGCTGGCTCCCTGCCAAGTCTCCAAACCTTACCACAAGAAGTCCCCCCCACCTCAAACCAAGGGAGAAGAGGGGGAAAAAAAACCACCAAAATAACCGAAAACAAGAGAGAGACAAAGCAATATATATAAATATATTTACACTTATATTTACAGTTATGTACAGTTGAAAAATATATATACAATTTCACAGGGAAAAGGGAAAGGGGAAGGGAAGAACAAAAACCAAAATAATATATATATATATATATATAATCCCGATCAGTAGCCCAAGGTCTATCAACTAAAAGAATTAGCAGAGAATATCTTACTACTCTCCTTGGGACAATGGAGAGTCACGCTGGGGTGACTGCCGGCAGCCTCCCCCTCCCAAGGTCGAAACTCTGTACTTCACTGCTTGATCTTTGCATTAAATTTCTTATGGCACATCTGTGAAGATGAGCAAATTACTTTTCCTCCTGCTAGAGTAAATAGTAATTCTTAGTAGTGCATTTTATTCCAGAAGAAAGTGTGAGTATAAGGCAAGGTCCAACATCCCACAAGCTAACAAATTCTTAAAATGAAATTCTGTTTTTTAAAATAAAAATTCAGTCACTAGCAGTAGGTTTAAACCTGATACTCCCTGAAAGGCTGATTATTTAATGTTCTTACTCTAAAAGTTTATGGGGTTTGAGACATTGTAATGAAAGCTGTATTACATAAATTTGTTAGCAATCACTTCTTTTTATCATGCTCTTTTATTGTTTTCTCACTATGATTTTTTGAATTTTTTTCCCTGTGGGTCTTTTGCTTTGCTTCTGTTTTTGTTTGATTGTTAGGTTTTTCTTTGGTTTTGTGGAGTTTTTGTTGTTTAGGGGGGGGGTGTGGATGGGGGGAGGATTTTTTTTTTCCCCAGATCTCTCCTTCTGGTAAAAGTCAGAGGCATTACCACTGTGGCAAAAATATGGGAACTATACAAATTATCAGTATAATGTGCTGCACTTAAGTTAAGGACAAACATCTTTTAGGTCAAAATTTTTTGACAAATACTAACTTCAGAGGAAGGAAGGAACTCTTATCCCAAAAGTATACAGCAGAAAAGAGGAAGCTAGAAGTTTATAATGTGTGATGAATGCTGTGAAATGTGAACAATTAATTCTCCATAAATTTAATTTTTTTTTCAAGGTATGATGCAAAATTTAAAAATGCACGTGTAATTTTTTTCAAAAAAATGCCAAAGCAATGAGAACATGAGATCCTTTGTGAAATATTTAAGGCAATAAATTTAATTCTTAGAATTTGTGAATACACTTATTTTTAAAAGTATTAATTTTTTCAGGGTTTTTTTTTGTCAAAACAATTAAGTTCACAGTTCAGAATAACTTTATTTTCCTTTGAAGATCTCCTAGTTGATATGTTGGGGGTTCTTGCCAGCTACAGCATCACTGTCAAAGAGTTGAAGCTTTTGTTCAGCATGCTTCGAGGCGAAAATGGAATCTGGGTAAGCTATGATCAGATAAAGCATTAAATGTCATTCTATTAGAGACTAAAGTTAACGTAAATTGTCCCCTGGGACATATAAACTTGAATTAATTGTTTTTCTCATGTTGACTGAACATATGTTTAAGAAATATTTTTGCTAACTACTTCAGAGTTAATTTGCTGTGTTTGAAAACTGTCCACTTTGCATAATAGCCTATAGAGTACAAAAATGATTGTATTGACTTTTGTGCAATTTTCTTGTTTTCACAGCCAAGACACGCAGTTAAATTATTATCAGTCCTTAATCAGATGCCACAGAGACATGGGCCTGATACCTTTTTCAACTTCCCAGGCTGTAGTGCTGCAGTAAGTTTTCAACCAAAATACTACAATTTCAGGAAGAAATAAATGGTTCCTTGCTTGCATTTCCTTTAATTTGTTTCAGAAATGCGTGAAAAGGAAGTAAGAGGAGAAATAGGTGTTTGAGTAGTGTACACGTTTTCTTCCATAGATTTGCAAGGTAGTTGTGTTGTTGAAAAGTTGCACTTGTGAGGATGGAATGTCAAGCAGCAGATTTTTGTTTGGGGAAGTTACTGTAAAAGTGAAACCTGAAAATTCCAAAGAACAGTGTTATTTTATTAGAATAATGTGATTGATATTATATAAAGGAGAGGGTTGAGGAAAATCTAGGAATGAACTACTCCATGTCATCACAGTTCATGGTGACTGCTTAGTCATACATTTTATTATAAATTTTCCTGTTTATCTGAATTCCAACAGCTGTTTACTTTCCATCAAGGCAGTGATTTAAATGCAGTTTTCTTTTGGCTTTTCTTTTTGAGATAACTTACAACGGCAAAATTGTATTCCTTTCCAAACCTTCCCAAATGGATATTCTCTCTTTCATTGACTGCGTGTACTTTCAGAAAAAAAGCTACAAATAAATTAAAATATTGTATACAGATTTATAGATTATTGAGAGTAAATACAAATGGGTAAAGCAAAGTAATACATATTTGAGGTTCAGTTCTATTCTGGTATGGATCAGGATATACTTATGGTAGAACATGGAATCCTTTAATAGAAAATAATCCTGAAATTCCTGTTTTCTCATGCCAGTGCTTGAAGGCTACTCTACTTGCATTTTATTAGTAGCACTGATAATCTTCTTCAAGCACAAACCACTGCCTCCATTTCTTGTGAATACAGTTGTTGGTTTGGCAGATTGCATCAGGGAAATAAACTGGCTGAAAATCGCTCTTTTACACCTGGGTTATTTTTGCTAATGACTTCTTTGATCTTGTTGGATATTCAGCTGTATAAACAGATGTGTCAGCAAAATGCATAGTTCAGGTTGTGTAAGGAATTAATTAATGAGTTTTGAAAGGGAAAGTTTCATTTTGTACTGCTAAATTAAAGCCACAGTTAACCTCTGCTAAAAGTATATGCAGCAACAAGACAGGTGTTGCAGAATATGAATGTCTACAATGGCACGTACTGCTTTGACATCTCTGGGCTTCGGAGGCAAACCCTAATGAAATTTCTCTCTTAAATTTAATTACATATCAGAGGTTCAAAAAAGGTTTTGCAGGGAAAGAATTTCAGATATTCCTCCCTGTCCAAAGATATGCATCAGTTACAGGAGCGTAAAGCTCTTAATTGAAATGCCCAGTACACATTTCTCTTTTCTTGGATTGGATCCTTCAAGGATTTTGTTTTACATAGCACTCAAGATTGACTCCAACCTGTAAATAAAGAAGCGTGAGTTTCAAATTTACACTTCTTGAGTAGTGCATGTTGAATTACACTATGAAGTTCTGGAGAGGATACATCCTCTGAAGTGGACCAAGGGCAAATATTTATAAAATGACCCAAAAAACAAAGCACTTCATTAGAAGAGAATGGATAGGGCCTTGTTCACTAGCACTGAGTTCAAGTTTTCAGGTGTGATGTACTGTGTTGACATCAGACAAAGAAACAGTATAATTTTTAATTGGCATGATAAATATCAGATTGGCCCTCTTTAAAGTTGGGTGCATGCTGCTTGTATAACCAAGACTTCAGTGGCAGTAAAAAGAGCCAAGAGTCTACTGAACCAGTCTAGTGATATGCTATCCCAGCTGAAGGGCTCTTCCAGAACTGTATTACATCTCTGCCAGACTGTGTAGGTGGCATGTTAGTCACTCCATTTGGACATCAGTGGTGGTGGTTCCTAGGTGTTGTTCCCATTTGTCATCAAGCAGCTCTTCTTCTGTTTCAGGCAGGAAACTCCCTCTCAGCAGGCATATCCTGAAGGTGTTCCTTTAAATGTTTAGTACCAAGCTTGAAGCAGAACTGGTGTTATTTCTTTTGTCTCCCTAAGTACTAGCATGATCAGAGCACATTGCTGTATCTAATTATAAAATTTTCTGTGATTTTCCTATTTCTCTGCTCTTAAAATTATATCAGCAATTGCCTTGCATATAAAAATGATGGAAAAGTCAGTCACAGAATCATAGAATAGTCTCACTCACCCTTCTATTACTACATGCCCTTGCATAAAGTCCCTCTCCAGCTTTCTTTTAGGCCCCCTTTAGGTACCGGAAAGCTGTTATATCTTCCATTTCCTCCCTAATCGTTATTCAGGGCCTTGCCCAGGTATAAGGAGTTCTCTGAAACCTCTTCATCAGTCAGCCCATAAAAGTGAAATATTGAAAAATTTAATTTCTTCCCAAGACATCCCTTACTATGGATGTATTTAACTGGGAATTGGAGTAAAACTTTCACTCTCTTACCTTACTAATTGTTCATAGGAAAAAAAAATCTGACAGTGCTCTTACAATCCAGAGAACAACCTTTTTTATACTGTAGTTTTAACAATGAATCTTTATAGTATGATCTGTTGATTAATTTGATTTAATATTTAAGTTTATAGATGAGATTAATAGTTATTGAAAGCTAAATTTGTAGTTTAATTTTTGCAGAAGTATTTTTCTATTTTTGTTCTGTTAATATAATTTTGTGTCCTCTAGTGATAGAATTTATGTAGTTAAAAATTAAAGTATTTTAAAATAGATGGAAAAGTAATGCATTTATTCAAAAGCACTATTTGCAGTTTTTTCTGTATTATTTAAAGTTAAAGCAGATCTACAGATCTAGAACAACAGGATTTTAGAAAGACATTACCTTTAACAGTATTTCTCAAAAAATTAACTTTTTTGTTTCTTTGTTTTTTTCCTCTTCTTCCAGGCAATTGCATTGCCTCCTATTGCTAAGTGGCCTTATCAAAATGGGTTTACTCTTAACACCTGGTTTCGTATGGATCCACTAAACAATATCAATGTAGATAAGGATAAACCCTATCTCTATTGGTAAGTAACTTATAATGCTGCAGGTATGATTTGTTCTGGCTTCCTTGTAGTAGTTAATCTTTCTCATTGTTTTTAGTTCCCCCCGCCAAATATCTGCAGATTTTAATGGCTGCTTACTGTATACAAGCTCCTACAAAGTCATCTGTCCTTTTGCTTTGCAATTTATAAATCCATGGTTGCAAGATATGTGCTTTGTAGATTAACCATAAAATCTAGTGTGGTGGTTTCTTTAGGAATTTTAAAATATATTATTTCTTAGAGCTTTAAACTAAGAATGTTGTCGCATTTTCTGTTTGGTGTTTAAGATTCTTGTCTGATGTTAGTACTACAAAATAAATATGTTTTATTCAGTGCGCACTGTCTGCATTTTAGCTAGAGGTAATAGAAATTAGATCTGTGAATATAAAAATGGCTTACTGATCACCTGTTCCCAAAAAATGTGCAAATTTGATGTGAAGAGAAATATAAGAGAAACTGAATATACCAACCTCAGAAGGAAATTAGGAACAATGCAAATTCTTACCATTTTTATATAGTGGCTCAAAGCAAGCTATAATTAATAATTCAAATTAGGAAAAACATTCAAACTAAATCTTATTTACAAAGATTTTGGACTTTGCCACATGAAAGTTTGAGTCACACACAACCACCACCAAGAGGAAGATACCAAAGCAAACATTTGTTTTCTTTTAAATGTACTTTTGAGCATGTAATACCTTTTGCTGTTTACCTAGGTGAAAAATATGTCATACAAATTAACTCTTTCTTTTTAGTTTCTTCTTAAAAGTAATCTGTCTCTTAAACAATCTTTATTTTAAAAGCATTAACTTAGTAGCATGCACAACTTCAGATAGAGCTCTTATTTGAAGCAGAGGTGATGAAAGCAGTCAGCTAGAACAGGTTCCTCGGGACCTTCTCCAGTCAGATTTTTGAGTATCTTCCCAAATGCAGACATTGCAACCTCACTGGGAAACCTGTACAAGTCTTTGACCACTCTCACAATGAAAAAAGTTTGTCAGTTTCAGTCAATGTCCATCGTGCCTTGTTCTTTCAGTGGATATCACTGGGAAGTCTCTGGCTCATTCTTCTTTACTCCACACCCACCAGATATTCATATACATCTTTTCCAGGCTAAATAGTCCCATGTCTCAGCCTCTTCTAATATGTCAGAGGCTTTGGTCATTCAGTCTGGTATGTCCCTGTCTTTCTTGCGCTGTGCATCCCAGAACTGGACACAGTACTCCAGATGTGGTCTCTTCAATGTTGAGGACAAGGAAGGATCACCTTGTGGTGATCTCTCAACCTGCTGGGAATGTTTTTTTCTAATACAGCCCAGAATACCACTGGTTGCCTTTGTCACGAGGGCACGTTACTGGCTCGTGGTCTAGCTACTGTCCACCCAGACTACCAGGTTCCTTTCTGCACAGGTGATTTCCATCTGATCAGTACCCAGCATACACTGGTGCTTGGGGCAGTTCCTCCTCAGGGACAGGACTTTGCCCTTGCCTTTGTTGATCTTCATGAGATTCTTGTTGGACTGTTTCTCCAACCTGCTGTGGTCCTTCTGAATGACTGCACAGTAACCTGGTGTATCAGCCACTCCTTATAATTTTGCGTCATCTCTAAGCTTTCTGAAGGTGCACTGTCTCACCATTCAGGTTATTAATGATGAAGCTGAACAAGGTTGGAACCAGTGTCGATGCCTAGGGCACTCCAATAGTAACTTGCCTCCAACTGGTCTGATACCACTGGTGGCAATGCTTTAAGCTAAGCTGTTCACTTAGTTTTCAGATGACCTCACTGTCCACTTATGTAGCTCATCACTGAGGTTATTACAGTGTTGAAAGGTCTTGCTTGTAGAAAGTCAGGATAAACATCCACGTCTTTCTCTGCCATCCTTTAAGCCAGTCATCTCACCATAGAAGGCCATCAGTTTGATTGAATAAATCTCTGGTATTCCAAATCACCTTCTTAGGTATGATCCAGGCTTTAAGTGAGTGCAGTGCCTTTGTGGTGGGAGACAGCAGTTACATCAGCTCAGCCATGAAAAGTGATGCTTAAAAATGGAGAACGGAAGCAAAGAAATGTTTTCACATTTGCCAGATGTGAGGGAAAATTGCTACTGTTCTGTAATTAGCTAAACGCTAAGCCCTGCTTCAAGAACTGTAAGCCAATTTGGTTTTTTCTTTAAAAATAATTTTAATTATCTCTGAGGATGATGTTGGGCAGCTTCTAACAGACAGTCTATTAACACTTGTGTATTGGGACAATATTGTAGCTGTCTTACCAATTATAAAATGAATGTGACAATCCTGGAAAGAAAATTAGAAGTTTGACATTTGCATGGATGATAAATAACAAGGGAGAGCAGTCAAGTTCAAATGGTAAGATTCAGAATTACATAGCACAAATTTTAGTATAAGCCAACAAACATCATATACCTAGCAGTGAATAATGGTATGAGTAGTTATATATAAGAAAGCAGGGATTACGGTAGGATGTTAAGGGTTGGTATAGGTTACCAACTGATTGTAAACTGCTTCTTCATTGCTCTAGCTGAAAAGAGCTAATGGGATCTTTTTAAGGATAGTCCAAACAAACAGAGAAGAGAAAAAAGGTGATGTGATCCCTTCCTGAAATCTTGGCAAAAGCATTACTGAAATGCCATTTACAGTTAAGAATTGGTGCTTCTTTTAAGAGATCAGGGGAAAAATTGGTACTATTCATAGGATACCTGGGAGTGAACTGTGCCCTGGAAGACACATTTTGTAATGAAACCTTTCAAGAAATAAAAGTAGTGATGAAAGTAAGGATGCTCTTGACTTCTGTTTTCAGAATTTATGCAAAATCTAATGTTGATGGATTTTTTTTAATGTGAGATCCAGTGGGTAGAGTGCAAAATAGGAAAAATCAAACTTTTAGACACACAATACTTTATAACAGTTATAAGACACAGTATAATAATCATCATCATTAAATAGATTTTTGAAAATGTTTTCTAAAAAATGAGGTGTAGATTCTTTGTCATAAAGACAAGCAAATTTAGAAATTTAGGGCTAACCTTATGCATGGTCAACTGGGAAGTCTCCTTCCTCTAAATCTCTATATTTCTTCCTGCTAAAAATGTAAGGGATAGGTGGCATAACTTCTAAGTAAGGCCTGGAATTTGATAAGATTGATATGGATACTAAGATTGATTTTTGATCAGGTTTTTTGTGTTGTTTTGTTTCCTTATTTTTTAAGAGATGTTTTCTTTCAGATTGTATATCAGGCTCTGTAAAAAAATTGGAGGGTGAACTGAGGCCAGATTATTATAATTGTTGCTTCTTGTCAATAAATCATCCAAGTGCTTCCACAAGCATTTAATGGAAGAATGGCTAAAACTTCTGCAAGTGCATTCTACATTTTATTTTTGCAGATGTAGGGACAAGGAGAAAAAAAAAAAAAGCCAAAAATCAAGCTGTCTAGTATTGTCAGTCCTTCTCTAGACCTAATAATAATAGAAATAATGCAGAACAGTTGCAAAAGCACATAATGGAATTCCAAAGTTAGTAGAAAGGAACTTCCCCTCCCCCTCATTCAGGCAAGAATGTATTAATATCTTCTCAGTACTATGATCATATGTTAATTGCTGGTAAAATCCTAAGGTAAAGAAACTGGAATCCCTAAACAGTTCCCTGGTGGATGGAAGAATGCTTTCGTGCAATGGAAGTGTAATAATATTCAGTAGCTGCTTTGAGAAACTGGCTGAAATGAAACAACACTGTAAAGGTTTTATGAAGGAACTGTAGTAAGATTGTATACCAGCTGCTCTGGGAGGTAGTTTAAGGCTCATAAAACCATATGGCTGTTGACAGTACTGCTCTTGTTGTCTCTGTGCATTTCATCTTTGGATGTGGCAAGTTCTGCACATGTAGGTAATTTGTAAGAGAATTTCTTTGCAGTATCCTAGAGACCAGTCCTAGCCTACTTTACCTTTGGCAAGAAATAAAACGCGAAGATTAACATTATATACTATAACGTTGAAGTAAACAGAGAACATATCTGAGTTCTCAGTTTCTTAATTATTGTTGTATTAGAATTCTAATTCATTTGGAGGAAAAAAGTATAGTCATGTTTATAGAATCTTTTATTCTATTTATTCTATTCCAAGTTGAAGAGCCCTGCTAAGAAATGTGCTGTTTTTCATTATGTCATTGCTTTATTGTGTTCATATGCTGAACTTTGGGAAGTTAAAGTGCTTAAAATTTCAGGAACAGTCTCATTTGACCATAATGGTGACAAAATCAGCCCAGTAACCAGTAAGGATAGGAAATGAAAAAAATTTTAAAGGTGTAGATGTTTCTTCAAGAGACATTCTTTATTTCAAAATGCTTACTAGCTCCTATCGAAAGTAGTAGGATGCATTTTACACAATTGTAATAATGTTTTATCAAGTAAAAATGTGATGATATTTACAACGTTTGGCAATTTAAATTGGTAATTTAAAATAAAACATTTTATTTAACATTTCTGATCAAATAATACCACATCATATGTCAGGGTGTAGTGAATCTGCATTTTTTTTTAATATCCTTCAGGATGGGATTCTGTCAAACAAAAACATTTTAGACTGTAGAGATGACTTAGTTGCTGAAAAACAAATTTGGCGTTGTGAGAGATACAGCTACCTGCTGAAAAATTTTTTGAATGGCGTAAGGCCCTAAGGTGGTAAATCAAAGTCTCAGACCAGCTCATAACACAATCAGTTGTTTTTATTGTAAAAGCTGTAATTTAAGTTTTTAACCTTCATGTTATTGTACAAAATTCACTGATGTGGTCGTGCAGGTAATTTGTATATATAGGTAATGTAGATTGTATGCATATATGAATGATAGTCACTGTTCCTTTTGTTGAGGGGTATAGCTGCCTATGGGGTCATTGTGGAAGCCAGATCATTGACGTGATCCAGATAAAAAATAGTCTTCAAAAGATAAAGGGGAATGTCAGTGTATAAATTGCCTTCATTGTTGAAGTCAGTGGTAATGCACAGTGTGTAATTTTTCTCTTCATTCTTAGATTATGTATTGGTCTATTTAGAGAGGAGTTTTTACATTTATTAAAAAGAGTGCCCTTTTTTTTTTGCAAAGAGTGGTGTATGGCTGTGGCAGAGAATAATGCTCCTTTTCAGCACAACAGCTTGAGGGGAGAGAGAATTGTGTACAATGTATAGAGGCAGATGAAAGAATCAAGAAGACACCGCTTGAATTTGCGAAAATAAAGAGATATCCTATATATACTTCAAGACTGGAAGGAAGGACCTCTGGGTGAGGATCCATTAGGGTGCAGAAAAGTCATCTCTAGATGTTATTATTCCTGTTCTGTTTAGCCTCATCACTCTGTTTTTAACATTTAATAAAAGCATTCTAATTTATGAAAGCAAAAGCGGCTTTCTAGAATTTGGTAATTTGAATGTCCGTTTTTTGCCTCCTTTAAAAATTCACTTATAGGAATGTCTAAAGAATGTCTAAACCCTGACTACCTCCGGGTCTAATCACACCACCTATCTTGTAATGAATCTATTTTTTTCATAAGGTCATGGTTTATGAGCTATATTTTTGACAGTGAGTAAAGAGGAAAATCTGGTTCTCTCCTTCAATGATGTATGCATACACATTTAACTGTAATTTTCTGAAGATAGAATTAGGTCTATAGCTATGCAATTTTTCTGCATATTAAAATCAAGGTTGTATCTTTGTAGTTGGGTAAACTAAAGATATAGAACCTAAGATATAGAAAGATAAAGATATATAACAGCTATTAAGTAAGATGAAATCTGAACTTAGTGTTTGTTTATACCTTTCACTCCCTAATGTTCCTAGCAAAAACCTAGTAAAAGTGTTTGATGAAAATGTTGCAACAAAGAAACCATTTAAAACATCATTATTGTAAGAATATGAAATTACTTTATGCGTTAGCTACCTTAAGAGAATGAGAGTGTTAATTAGTGGGCTACAGGACTTTATACAAATGTTCAAAATTAGTAGTGTCTTTTCTTATACTTGCAAAGCTTCATTTAAGAATTTAGTGATGAAGTTCGCCATCTAGACCTTGTATTTCAGCCATTGGTTATTTATTTAGAGAAAGGCTGAAAGCTGTGTGCTCCTTATTAATCATAGCGGACTGCTCTTTACTGTACTTAGCTTTTCAGAAGGCATTAAGTGACATGGATATAGATATGGACTTACCCCTTTTGAATTGCTCTGTGTAATACCATTTGTGAATTTTGACCAGCTACCTTTGCAAACTGTTTTTTTAATAAGTCCAGTATTTCTCTTTACAATGCTTTTGATTTCAAATATAACTAGAGAAATGTATGAGATTTCTGCATTATCTGTCTTCATGATATTTGTCACAAGAAGGCTGAAAACCCTTACTAAACTTAGTTTGGTAAAATTTCAGTCCTTTATCCATTTGACAAATGAAAATAAATCCATGACTCACATGAATAAACCTTCATAGATCATTAGCCTAATTAATTCATGTCGTGAAAAGTACTTATTTTGCATAGTTATTGTCTTGAATCCCAATTTGTATGTCATACCATCTGCATTTTTCTCTGAACCCCATAAAATTGCAAGGCATCTCACACTTGTTCTGTAATGGTTATTTCTTCACAACTTTAATCAGATGTGTTATTTTAAATTATGATGAATTAGGAAACTGAGGGGAAACGTAATAGATGCAATATTTACTATCTTGGATTTTAGTAAAAAAAAAGTAATGATTTTTAAAGTGTAGCCTGGAATCAATTAAGTGCTGAAGGTGAGTAGCGCCCCCCAAAGAATGCTGGGAGAAAATTAAGTTCACCATTCCAGGTACTAAGTTATTTTCTTTCTCATGGCAATTTAAAGTCGTATTTGAATCTCTTTATTATACAATAATTCCCCTTGTCCCAATTTGATTCATAATTCTTTCTTTTCAGTTTCCGCACTAGCAAAGGTGTTGGGTATTCTGCTCATTTTGTTGGCAACTGCTTGATAGTTACATCATTGAAGTCAAAAGGCAAAGGTTTCCAGCACTGTGTGAAGTATGACTTTCAGCCACGCAAGGTAAGCAAAGTGGTATTTACAATAAAGAATAACATTGAAAATGTGACAAAGTGCTTCTGGGAAGAAGGACTAAAATCTCTTTTGTGCCATAGTGTTACTAATAATTTCTTTTTTATGAGTAACTGCTCTTATGGTCATGCAAAGTTTTATGTCTATTACAGTTCAGAATCAACTAAAAAAAATAATTTATAGAGTAACAGTTCTATAAAGTCAGCTTGTTTTTTAAAGTACTGCTTAATTAGCTTCAGACAGAGAAGAATTTTGAGTATTTGTAAAATGATTGTATTTTATTATTAAAACTCCCTCATTCTGTTTCTGAAAATTCTGTACCTGGTAGCTTTGTGGCCAATGTCTTGAAAAATTTTGCTGGCAATGCTGTGTGATATAAGGCTCTCAACTTTCCTCTGTGTCAGTGATGTTTCGGGATTTCTCATTTTTCATAGTAAATTGTGATTATATCTGTAGATCATATTAGTGTTCATTTCTACTCTATGCCTAGTAATCCTAGGGGAACAATTATTCTGCAGCCTTCAAAATTGCAGTTAGTTGACTGAGGCATTGACTTTCCATACAGCAAGCATGTGTTTATCATTGATAGCGGTCTTGTGTATATTTTGCTGTGAAGCCCATTTCTTTTTTTATGGGCTTAGATTTTGTATGTTGAATTTCAGTGCTTGTTTTGTTCTGAGAAACCAAACTCTTAGGGAGGGAATGCCAATATTCACACATCAGCTTAATGTTCTACTATTTTTCTTAGTATGTATTTGTGATTCAAAATCACTGATTCTGATTTCATCAGGTAGCTTTTGTTCACTTGTGGTTTTTTTAAAATGAAGTAATGTCTTTTTCTAGCATATTACTCGAGGATATATAAAGCCTTATAAACACATATCTACTGAGTCTATCAGAATGAATCAATTCTGGTTTGCACATTTAATTTTATAGACAGAAAAGTGTTGTGATAACAATTCAATTTTCTTTTACAGTAGCACATCTGATGCTACTGATGAACACTGAACCTGGAACAAATGAAATTGTTAACTTTTGTATTATGTTATTGTTAATTAGCCTGTGGGATCTTGCTGATCTTTACTTGCTGATGAAGTCATATCTTTCATATTTTGATAATTTTTAATACAAATGACTAGTTTTCTTCATGCCAACTCTAGAAAATTTTAGCTTTTTCTGTTCTACTTAAAATAGCTAATTGTGAAATACAAGTACATGTATATCTCATTATATGAATGGCAGTTTCATATCATAATCAGCTGATGTGCTGAAGTATGTCCAAATATAACTCCCATGATAGTTTTATATTTCCCAAAGTTTGTGCTTCATACACTTTGGGTCATATGCCGGATTTGGAAAGTATTTAAAATATGTGTTATAGAATATATTTTCATGTGGTTTAATATATTTTTTTCCATTACTAAGTTGTGTTTACACGTATGTGGTAGGGTACATAATGCATAATGGAGGAAATAAAATGTGTCAAATACAATTTCTGGCTCTAACAAGTCAAAATGTATGCTGTTTAACATGTAAATTGATTTTCTTCATGTTGTTTAGATGTGACACTGGTTTCACTGTGCAAGCTTTGAATGTGTAGATATGTATTCAAAAATTGTGTGCTGATTTACAGAGCAGCTAACTGTCCAAATGCTAACTTGAGAGGTGTGATTTTTGCCATCAGATGTACTATTTCCTGTAGTTTTTTATGTTTGCTTACAGGCATAGACATTTCAGCAATAGGTTTTGCCAGGAACATCATCCTCATTAAACTTCTGAATAATTTTTTTTTAAATTTTTGGTAAATCACAGTAAAATTATAAATTCAAATCACCTAGACAAAAGCTGTATGTAGGCAGATACAAAAGTTACTATGTTCACCTAAAGATCTCCCTGCTGTTAATTGTGTCATATGACACCATTCACATAATGTGTAATCTTAATTTAAAACTTTAAGATGTGTCCAGTAGTTGCTTTAGGCTTCAATTGGTGTATTTTAATTACATTGTAAAAGCAAGCATTTATAAAAATGTATGGAGAAATTTGGTATTATATCTCCAAATAAAAAATGTGGGTGTGATACAATAGACTGACGTCTCAAGAGAGCTACATAAGCTGTGGCAGTGTTGTATTTGATATGTCTATACTGCTTTTTTTGTGCTCCAAATTGAAATTTTTGTGTTAGTAACCCCTCGTAATTTTTACTCCCCTGAGTTCCAGCCTCAGCATCAATCCTTCTAAAACAGGAAAACAGTGTAGTCAAGAGCAAATAGCTTTTTTTTTTGTGTTTCTAATTCTGAACACCTTTACTAATTTTAGTATAGACAGAAATAAGTTCCACATATTGGAAATACTTAGTGTGTGATGCCTTATCTCTCTGATTGTACTGTGCTATGGAGTAGGAATATCACTTCGCAGTTGGTGACTAAGCTCAACAGATTTCAGCAGTATAAAAAATGGACAGGTTGGTATCTGAAGTGTCTTTGAGTACTACCTGCAGAAGCTCTTGTTACAGCTGAGAGGCATGGTCTTTGTGCATTTTTGAGAAAATGATATAGGAAAGGAAACTGCAGGATGAATGTAAAAGAAAACTGTATTACTGACTTTGAATATTAAAAAAAAAAGGATTTTTTCAACTAAAAGTTGAAGAAAAATTTTGTGTAAGATTATGCAACTTGGTTTGGTTTGTAGTGCAGTAGGAAAGTCCTGAAAATCATGTCCTCAGATACAGAATAGGAGAGAATTCAAAAAAATCACTTGTACAACATCACCAAACATTCACATAAATGAGACATGGGTAATAGGAGGATATGAGACATACATATATGGTTCTACATATATAAAAAAAATTAAAAGAGAAGCTGGAATGTCTTATTTTAAAGGAGGTTATTGATATAAAAGAGATATCTGAAGCTTTGTTGACTTGACCATCACTGCATGCTTGTTTCAAATCATAGTTACAGTTATATGTGACAGAGGGGCAGGCCTTGCTAATAGAGTGATGTCCTGTATTAAAGACATAACCTAATCAGATAAAGTTAATTGTGACAATATATAACAGAGTTTCTGTGCTCTGAAAATCAGTAACTAAGTTAGGAAAACCATACTATTCAGATTAAATTGTTAGCCACATGACAAGGATGGTTATAGCATCTGTGATGAATTGGGGAAGATCAGAGAGCATCCTAATATAAAGAAGCTTGCACTACCTTGCTGTAAACTGGGTGGCATCTTACTGGTAAAAGGGTTCAAACTTTTAAATACCATATGCATTTCGATTTATGTACTTTTGAAACTTTTTAGAGAGTTCAGACATTGACTCTTGCTTGACTTTGTCTTGAAAAATGCTGAATATGCTTGGATATACAAGATTTGCAATTTTTCATTTTTAAAGGAACTGTTAAAAACTGCCTTTATTTCTTAAATAAAAAAGGTGTTTGCTAGTACTAGAGAAATTGCCTGAATGCAAAAATACAAAAGGCTAAGAGCGAATATACCATTAGTCAAAAAATCCAGTAGAATGTTTAAAAGCTCCTCACAATGTACTTGAGCATAGATAAATAGCAAAGTAAAGACAACTGTAAGTAAAAAGTTGTTCAGAAAGTTGAAGTTGTGTCAAAAGAGTACTTAGAAAAGTATAAGTTATAGCAAATAATATGCAAAATTATTGCAATTCAATTTTTTTTCCTGTGCTTGGATGACTAAGGCTTAATAGGAGCCCGTGAAGAATATCTTAACATAGGAAAAAAGCTAAATCATTTAATTGCATCATTGTTTACTACAACACGAGTCTATGGGGATGAGTCAGAGGAAGTGTCTGGAATTGAAATGTCAATAGAAGAGATATAGAAATAAATGTAAGAGATAGTAATTAATTGCCAGGACTTTAGAGAAGGCACCCCAAGTTCCAAAGAAATTTGAATACAATATTTGCCAAACTTTCGATTGGGATATATAATCCATTTTTTCAAAGAAATTGTTGATGCAAAATGCTACAAATTTTAAGAAATGCCTTTGCTGATATTTAGAATTACATATTATCATGCCTGATTTCTTAGCAATCAAAATGGGTAGAAGCTAGAAAAATGGAAAGGAAGGATTAGAAAACATATAGATAACATTCATATCTAGGACAAAGCAATGTGCTGATGCACTGGAATTCTTGTCTTCTGCTTCCATTGAATTATTTGTAAGATTCTCACTTTGCATAAGAACAGGTTTGTGAGCCAGTTGATGCACTCTATTCTCGAAGACCTGTAGGCATTATACTCATCTGAAAGCCTTAAAAAAGTTATGTAATCATGTGATAAGAGAATTTATACACGTAAAATACAGTTATAGAAGGATATGAATCAAGTGAGCAAGCAGGAATCTCAGGACTTTTATTTTCTTATTGCGAAGTATGCATTGTGAACTTGATGGTGTTTGTCATCCTCTTTTAGGAACTGGTTTTGAAAACCTATGTTACTCCTTTTATCCAGATTGATAGTGACAAATATGAGAAAAAGAGTAAATCATTTTTTAATACTTGAATACTTCCCTGGCTAAAAAGAAATTGCCATTTAAGATGTAAATTTGGTTATTTCTAGTGTAGGAAGACAAAGAGCAGTATTTGACTGGATTAGTAATGATAGCGATCTGGGATAGACTTTGTGTGCACGCATGTGTGCATATGCATGTGTATTCAAGAAAATCAAAGCTCAGGTTTTTTTGCCTTTTTTGCCTTTCGCAGTCTTAAGTGAGTTTAATGATTCAGTTTTGAGGGAAACTTCATGTTTTCTTCTTGAACTTATTTGTCATGGACATAATGATTCCTATTAAACAAAGTATTTGAAAGACCACAATACTTGTACTTGGAAGCATTTAACTGTGATGCTTTCTCTGTTTGATTATAAAATATATTTTAATGATATGACAGGTGTCCAAAAATTGTTAGAATGGTAAAGAACAGAGGAAAAATATCAAAGGAAACAATCAGGATAACATCTTAAACTGGGCTGTAAAATTTGCTATTATGAATTTTTTCTTTTTATTTTATAATTTTTGACAGACAGCTATGATGCAAAGGCAAAGCTATGTGATAAGAATTTGTTAATGTAAGAGCACATAGCTCTGTATTTCCCATCAGAACTGAGTTGTGTTTTGTGTATAGCGTGTATAGTGTTGAAATTAAATTACACTTTCAGGAATCAAAGTTTTTTCAGCTTTTTAATTGTGCGTATGCAATTTTGTCTCTAATCCCATAAGGGGATGCTGGTAGGTACATCATTACATTTAGGCACAATTCTGCTGACTGGACGTGAAGTTCCAGTGACTTGACTTTTAAATTTACGGGTTTGCAAGAATTCATCTGTGTGTATAACTTTATGAGACTGGTCACTTATTTTTTATGCCATTCATTAACTTTATATTTTATAGCACAAAAACTGCCACTGTATACTGATTGTTCTTGTCTTTCCAGTGGTACATGATAAGTATTGTACACATCTATAATCGATGGAGAAACAGTGAAATACGATGTTATGTGAATGGTCAGCTGGTATCCTATGGTGATATGGCCTGGCACGTTAACACAAATGATGTAAGATTTTATTGTTTTCCTTTTTTATATCTTTTTATTTTAAAGTTAATTGAAAAAGAAAAAAAAAGTACTGTATTTGTTTTCTCCGTGTGGTAGAGTTACAGATTTGACAGATTTAGCTTGAAAAAAGTCCTTAAGAAAAACTGATTCATTCTGCCAAATAACTGTGCATGCTGCCAATGGATACAAAATTACTCTTTTTTGTAGACATGAGATTCTGCATTGAATTCAAGAGGAGATATTTGTTAATCCATAAAAGTTTTCTATGCTTTTTGCCTTAAGGAACATCAAATTTTAAGTAGGCTTTTTAATTGAAGTAGAACAGAGTAGCCTCAGCTATTATGAGAGTCGTATTGCTTTAAACACTGTATAAGTATAGTAAGAAATCATTTCATCTATGCAGAGTTTACAGGTTTAAACCAACAAGATAGAGAGAGAGAGAGAGAGAGAGAGAGAGAGAGAGAGAGAGACAAGGACTAAAAGCTAGCAAACAAAAGCATGGAGAAGTGTCCAAGGAGATATAATATTCAGCAAAATCTGAAGTATTAAATCTATCTCCCAATTACAAATATATTTTTCCTATTGTTTCACTTGCAATTAGTAAATAGGCAGTTGACCAATAACAAAAAAATTCTGTACTAAGCATTACAGTATTAATATTTAAATAATATTGTTAGCAAGTACAAATTAGCTGCTACAAAATTTCATACCTGCAATACAGAGCAATTTTAGTGGGCAGTAAGCTTTTACTTATTGGCCATTCAAACTAGTTAAAAGATATTGAGAGGTGTGCAATTGTGCAGCATTAGTAAGCTTTGAGCAAAGACACAGTGATCTTGCAACTGTTTGTCCAACAGGGAGAAAGCAGTCATTTTTACCAGAAGATTACATGCATACCTGGAAATATACTTGTATCTGTTAATTGGACTGAGATCAAATAAAAATTTATTCTTACAGGAAATGCATCTGCTTTCATATTGTTTGTAATTTAATTATTTTAAAGACATTTATATAAGTTCCAATTTTAATGTTTTGGGGTGTGTGCACTCTGTTTCTGTACCTTCTACTTGAAAGTTTGAGAGTCTACACTTTTGTTAATTTTTTATTTATAATACGATTCTCATTTTTTTCTGACTGACTGTGTGGGATGACAAAACCTGTTTGTACTTAAGGAAATGAGCTATCTTTCACTAAATTCTAGAGGCAAAGTTGGATTTGAAAGGAAGGGTTTAAATATTGCATGTTAATTAAAGTAGGAGGGCTCTGCTTGCTAAAGCTTCTGATTGCCATTCTTTGTTCTCTTGGTAGCATCTCTACTTGCAAGAAAAGGCAAGCCTTTCAGTTTTTGCAGAGCATGGGTTTCCCCTTGCTAATATAAACATTTTTGTGATGGGTGGAATGTGATGACTGAAAAGCCACTTGAGGTCTCAGAGGACCTGGGCTGTTACTGGTGTGTGGAGATCTGTCGTCCTTAATGACAAATGCTAAGCGGGAAGAGCTGCTGTAAACTGGGAAGAATGAAAAAAGAAAGAACTGGAAATTACTCCAGAGTAACAGACCTAGAGTGTGATTATGTGTAAAACTCAGAATCTATTGAGAAGTTCAATGGCTGTTGTACAATTAATGATTACTAGAGGAATTCAGGAAAATGCCATTGTAATAGGCAGGAATGTATGTGTCAGAATATTTAAGTACAAATTAGGAAAAAAGTGACATCGGTAGCTCAGACAAATTCCTCAAATAACCATTAAAAATGGCAGTTGCTCAACATTAATTGACTTAACACTTTCTGACAGTAATGGCACAGTGTCAGGAAAGCCTTCAAGACTAAGCAAGACTTCACTGAACTAACTGAAAATTATTAGAAATTTTCACCATTAGAGTTACTAGGAGTTAGAGGGGTCTCGTTAGCCCATATTTTGCACTGTGCATCCTGGATATGACTTTATGAATCAATATTAATGTAGTTTTTTTCAGAAGTTTTTAAATTTTGTCAAAATTATTGCTTAAAAAAATAGAAAGGGAAATTTTTTTTCCAAGGGGAAAAAAGAATTAAAAGAGGTATTTGGTCAAAAGGAGGATAAATCAAAGATAAAAGGCTAGATACTTCTTATCTCACCTCATCTCAAAGCTGAGCTCCAGATCCTTGACTTCCTTCTGACTGCTTAGATAGACTCCCCTTTTCCTTGTTACCTATTCACCCAGATCAGTTTCTGTAACAGTTCACTATATGTCATTCCATTCTCTATTTTTCCTTAAAGTAAAACTCAGCAGGCAAGCAAGATGAAAAAGCAGGCTTCTTAATGCAGGTTCTACTGGTTTAGTGATTCAGCTCAAAAAGTGAGACGTGATCCTTATTTCCATTCGGTGAAGTACGTGTGACTCAAGGAAGCTGACAGAATAGCCTTCAAAGATCCTTGACCTTCCTGTTGTTGTCCTTTTGCAGTTCCCCAGGTCTTTGTTCTATACAGGTTTTTTTAGAAGCACCAGAAGAACTTAACATGAATCTTGCAAAATAGCCGCAAAAATCACTTCTAATCTGAAAAAAATAGGAAGTGGATAGATGGAAACTGCTAAAGGTCTTTGTACAGAGGGATAGTTATTAGAAGAAGAAATGGAAAATAGCAACTCTTGTGACTACAGAAGGCAGAAGAGAATTAGGTCAAACTAAATCATTATAGCCTGTGGTCATACAGAAAAACTGTGCACCAGCTGCAAACTAGAAAAATCTGTGTTTGGGTTTCTTTTTCATACTAGAGATATTTAGCTCTGTTAGCACAACAGTGAAAGAAGAGGGCATTTCAGCATGTGTTCTTGTGAGTTAGCAATGGGAGTTCTGAGTATAATTACAAGGAACTTCAAGGCTTTCATATTTCTAAAAGGCAATAGGGAAAGTTATTTGGTAATTGAATGTACTATTCTAATTTTCTCTGTTGTATTTTGACCAATTAATAGAAAACAAATCCTAGCAGCCAGTCATAACAGCATTATAATGCAGACCTGTAAACCAGTTAATGCTACAATATTCAAAATTAAGTTGTTCACCACAGCAAAGTAATAAATGATTGATAATGGTTGGTTTATCTTTTTAATTAGTCTCCCTTTATTTGTGGCTTCAGTAGCTGTGCATTAATATTATTTCATTATTAATATTGCTTCTTTCTGGTACAGAGCTATGATAAATGTTTTCTTGGATCTTCGGAGACTGCTGATGCAAATAGAGTGTTCTGTGGCCAGCTTGGAGCAGTATATGTATTCACTGAAGCACTCAACCCAGCACAGATTTTTGCAATACATCAGTTAGGACCTGGATATAAGGTAATAATGGATCTTAAAAGCATAAAACTGGAAAAAGTAAATGATTGATAAATATAATTGGAAGATACATATGAATGTAGATATTCCTCCTAGTATCATGTACATTTTTTCATGTGATTTGGTTTCAGCAAAAAAGACTATTTCTTCAAGTATTCTAACTAATCTTGGCTTTCCACCAGCTTTTTGGAAGACGCAAGTTTCTTTAAAGCTTAGCTGAAATATGTTTGTATGTGAAATTTATTACTTTGGGTCATAATCAAATTAGAGAAATTTTGTATTCAGTGTACTGAATACCATGGAAATAACTTTCTTCTCTACTCTCTGTGTCTAAAACCTGAGTTAAGGCAGATTAACATTCAGCAAGGCATAATAAACCAATTCTTTCAAATGCGTGGTTTCAGACAGTTCTGCTGAAGTACCAGTTTAACTTTTTACTCATGCTTTGCCAGTGACATTTAGGAGTCAGTTTGGACAAATTAATGGTGCATGCATAAACTTGGATCTCTAGTCAGACACTAAAGTGCCTAGTGGATAATACTTGAAAATTAATCTAACCTTGGATAAACACTATTGAATTTCTACAATCAATTATTCCCAAATCTTTTTTTTTTATTTTTGAAATTTCCTGTAATCTGAACTAGACTTTCAGGTTTTTGGTATATGTAATATACTCTAAAAATAAAAACTTTTAAAATCCGAAAGTAAATATCAACATCTAGATTCTAGTAATATTAATTTTGTGTGCTGAAAATGACTGCTCTAAATCATTTGATGACAGCTAGCACTTGAATGACAGCGAGAGTTGCAAATTTCTTTAATGGTAGGTATGTATAACCAAATATATGTCAGATTTACTTGGAGAAGAGGAAATCTATTGTATATGGTTGATGGTTAAAACTGTCTTGAAGCTAAAAAATGTTCAGTCAGTCAATAGATATGTATTACCTGTGCAAACAAGGAGTATTTTATTCCAAACTTAGTACTGTACTAAACAAATATTTCTGCAAATATATTTTTGTCATACAAAAGAAATTAATATAACTTTATACTTCTTAATAATAAATGTAGTAAACCTTTATGAATTTAATAAGTTCCTGAATTTGCAGCAGCATACTGATGTGATATCAAATAGGAATAATGTTTTCATGTGTTTCAAGAAGTGAAAATTATTATGAAAGGTTTTGTGAGTGTTGAAGGGGTTGATAAGGCACATGTGCTTTCATGATAAATGACATTTCCAGTAGTTACTGCACTAACCTTATTACAGTTTTGTCAAATTGCCTTTCTTGATTCATAGGCTTCCATTAAACTCCATTTCTTCACACCTGTAGCCTCTTATTGATTTTTTTAAAATTTCAGTTAGATAAATTTAATATTTTGGAGATATTCTTCTTTGGTATATCATATTTTAAGGTTTTGGTCATGTACCCAGCGCAGTTAATGCCCCCTTGTTCTCTGAAGGTGTTTCTTTCCTTGTCTAAAAATCTGAAAGTGTATTTTACTAATTAATAGCAGCTAAAAAGAACAGGTTCCCAGAGCAGACCCTAGAAATAACTTTTTATTTAACTTCCTTATTTCCAAAAAAAAAAAGGACAAAACAGAAGACTTTTTTCTCACTTTCTTCCAACCCAAGATCTATCCACATTCAAAAAAAAGGAACCACATCCTGTAATTTAGAGATCTCAGAACACCAGTTGTAGCCTTCACTCAAAGCCTACCTCTTTCACGTCTCATTTAACTTTATTTCTTCAGTTCAGAATACTTCAGTATGGTATTCTTAATCCAAAGGAGCCTCAATTGATATGTAGCTTGAATTGCTGAACATTAGAGATCATATTCTTGCTCTTGCCTAACTTCGTAAAGAGGAACTGTTCTAGATGCATTGTGAACTCTGGTAGTGCCAAACTTTTTCTCCCAAAGGAAGATTATTCAAAATACTTGAGAATTTTTGGAGTGTGTCTTCATACATATGGGGTTTTTTTCCCTATGACAGTCTGTGGTAGTTCCTTTGATTTACAGTTCATACTGTGGTCCATTATATCTGAGGATCTGATTCTTTAGGGGAAGCAACCATCCCTCTATCTACTTTGTTCATGAAAAGAGACTATGATTTTGCCTGTCATTCAGCTGCCCTCACAATCATTCCTAATGCTCCTAGTCTGCAATGACTGCCATTGAGACCTCTGGAATGCAAAGAAATATGTATAATCTACCAGCATACAGGACAGTGCAGTAGGCACACAGCTGTGAATATACATAGTATGTATTGTTGCAAATAACACCAAAGGCACAAAGTTCAAGAAAAGGCAGATCTTGATCTACAAAGAAAAATGAATCTGTTGTACCTTGTTCCACCTCTGTTCAGTGGTGCAGGTAGGATTAACTAGAGAAGTCATTAAAATAAGCCTTATTTATGATGCATATCATTCATTTTTCATGGCTAGGCTTCGCGAACGAAGATTTGAGAAAGGTGTCTACCCACGTTTGTCACAAGCACGCTGGTGGCTAAAAAGGCCAATACAAGATAGACATATCCGATTGCAAAAGGCACAACAGAAAGACTCCTTAGGTGGTATATTCTGCAAGGCACGATTCTTTCTGCATTGTCTTTTCTCCTCAAGAGTGATCCTGCGTGCATTCTCAAAGGCATCAGCAGCGTTATAGATGGTGTGTCTCCAGACCTCCCGATTGGAGGCCAGAGTAGACCAGTTACATTGATCAATATGGCCAAGGCTGAGATGATGTTTAGAGTTGTCCTTCTCTTCTGTATGCATATCAAATAATTATATATTTATATATAATATTTATATTATTTATAGCACATTACATGCTTATTACAGAGTGTTGTAACATAGAAACAGTTAATAATACTTCCACGCTGATCTTGCTTAGCATGTCCTTCTGAAAGCATTTGTTTGTAACCAGCATGACTTAGTACAAAAATTTATTTGTTGATCAAATAGATGTTTCAGTTTGAATTAAATAATAAAGAGAGGAGAAGGGGCAAATATAACAGAACTATGTGATTTGTCTCTTCCTTGTTGAGTCATCCTAAATTAATCCATAAGTTATCTTGAAATTTAAAATTATATTCAGTAGAAACATAGTAGGATTCAATATTTGCATTCCTAGGTTTTATCCATAATAAAGCATGCTCATTTTGAGCCTTGTTCAGCCTTGCTGAACAGGTCTTTTACCTATTGTGTTGACACTTGACACTTGTTAGAGATGGAAGAAAGAAAAAAGAAATGAGAGCACGCTCTCACTGTGCTTGTTCTGCTGCCCATCCTTGTTTCCAGGCAGCAAAGAAAAGCCTGTCTCAGCTGGGATTCCAAGGGGCTGATAAAGAGAATAGAGGGGCAAGAAAAGTAATTTGAGAGAAAGAGATGCATCTGATAGCAGTGTTTGGTGCTGTTTATAAAGGAATGTTTCTGAAAGTCCTGTCCTAATAGCCCTGGGAAATCTGTGCCACTTCTCTTAACCCTCCCATAGACATTTCAAAGCAAGTTATCAGATTATTCCATATGTTACTCTTGATCAGTGCTGCAGTATCAATCTTTTTGTTACATATGAAGGCTGGAGTATGAATATATTCATGCATACACGTACACAAAATAACACTGAAAATTCAAATTTGCTTAAACCAATTATGTAGTACAAAACATTATTTTATGTATGATTGCTGAACTTATAGTAGCAAAATGGAGTGAATAGTAAATCAAAAAGCAGCACTCTTGCTGCTAAAGGAAAAGGGAGAGCTGCTGGTGTTTAAGCAATGCTCTTGATCAAGCACAGTACTGGAGTAATTATTGGCTCTCTGTTCCCTCTCCCATTCCTATAGGAGCTACAGCTATCCTTTATATAGATCCTGTATATATTTTTACCTTATATAGAATATGTTGAATCTAAGGCTCTTTTTTACCAGCTTGATGCTTTCACACTGCTTGTACCAGACCTCAGAGTAGCATTCCTTCAGTGACCAGTAACTTACCGTTTGCAATTTGAGCTCCTGTGCTCAACAGCCTCTGCTATCCTCCTGAGGTTGTATTTTCCCAAGTCCCCAGTATGGTATGCATATACAGAATTTCTTTTCTCTTTCTGTAGATCAATGTTAGTAATAAAGGAGTATCATACATCAGAATTTGTAGCCTCTCTTTCCATTCTGTATAGTGATCTTTTGGGTAGGAGATCACCATTTCCAGTTTATGATTTGTTAGGCTTTGATGGCAGAATGTCCTTTTAATTCCTTTCCTCAAAAAAGTGTGAGGAAGTATTATATTGTTTCATAATTTATTTGTGCCTGACTTTCAAATAAATTCTGATTAATGCCTCTGATAAATTCTTGAGGCATATTGAACGCTGAAAACTAGGAGATAGATTAATGCCAAAATTTGTTTATAAAACTGATTTAAGTTAAGCAGTTTAGAATGTTGCAAAATTTCATGGCAATGAAATTATACAATTTTATGTTGAAACACTTTGACATATTTAAAACAGCAAAGTTATGAAAAACTGTATAGTGGAAAAACCTTCAGAGTTTTGGAATCTGACAAAACTTAGAGGCATGAAAGATTTTCAGGGTAATATATGTTTTCATTTGACAAAACATTAAAATATAGTACATGCAGCATGTAGATATCTTTAGAAATCAATGGAATCACTATATTTTTTCCTCTGCAGAAAGTACACAGAGTATCTGTATAGTTTAAAATGCCCTCTGGGGAGAAATACATCATCACCTTCCTCAGGACAAATCCGTAATATGTAGCAGTCATTTCCTGATAAGTGATGTAGGCAGCCATATCAACAGAGAGCCAGCTTTCAAGTTCTAAGCATAATACTCCTTCTTTGGGGTTTTCTGCTTCAGTAAGTGGTGTGACCCAATAGGAACACATTTCTAGATTAAAACATTTAGTGCTGAGGACTGAATACCCATAGTGTGTAGATTTTGGGGTTTTTACTTCAGATTGGTTTTAGTCTGATCCTTTGGGCTGAATGAATGTCACCGATTGCAGGACTTTTGAGTTTCAGCCTAAAGGAAGTCTCTTCAGTTCTGAACAGCTTTGCAGTATGAACAGAGTAGTAGGTGGGAATCACTGGCAGTTTACCTACAAAACAGACTCCTAACCCAAATGCAAATCACAGAATCACAGAATGGTTCAAGTTGTTTGAAGGGACAGCTGGAGATCATCTGGTCCAACCTCCTTGCTCAAACAGGGCCATCTAGAACCAGTTGCTCAGGACTATGTCCAGACAGTTCTTTTAATGTCTTCCAAGAGACTCTATCACCTTGCTGGGCCCCTTCACAGTGAAAAAATGTTTCCTGATGTTCAGAGCGAACCTCCTGTGTTCCGATTTTGGCCATTGGCGTGTGTCCTGCAACTGGGCACCACTGAGTAGCCTGACACCATCTTCTGTTCACCTTCTCTTCAGATATTTATACATGAGATCCCTTCTGTGGCTTCTCTTCTGCAGGATGAAAGTTCTCTCAGTCTTTCCTCACAGGAGATATGATTCAGTCTCTTCATGATTTTAGTGGCCTTTAATTGCACTCCCTCATTAAGTCCATGGCTCCCAGTGGGAGCCCAGAACTACAGGTGTGGTCTCACCAATGCTAACTAGAGGGGAAGAATCACCTCCCTCCACCTGTTGGCAACACCCCTCCTAATGCAGCTAAAGATAACATTATTCTTCTTTGTCAAATGTAGATTAAACCATTCACTTACTGTTGACCTTACTAGTTGTGTTTTCTATTATGGTACCTGCACCTCATATGTTTTCAGCATGGCATTGCAGCCTCCCTTCTGCCTGACATCACCCAGTGTGGGATGCTGCTGACCGACAGATCTGCTCCAAGCAGATCTCCCAGCAGCTGCAGTCAGGTTCCCAGTCTATTCAGATTATGCCCCACATACAAATGGATGCTAGTCACAAGACCTTCTATTGCCATGTGTCAGTCACTAGAGCAGGTGCACTTTCCCATCGTTTGGCTGTTAGCAAGATAATTTTGTCAGCATTTCCAGCAGCATTGAGAGCTCTGCAAAGGCTGGATAGGGTTTATGGGGTTATGTTATTGCTAGGAACATCTAATTTGTTTGGAAAGAGCAGTTGATAGCCTATAAATTGCCTGTTTTAATTCTAGCATGGAAAACAAAAATCCTAATGATGGTACTTTCAGTAGTTTCATTGCATTTCATACTGGGGGGGGAAAGGAGAAAAGGAGATTTGGTAGGACCAAAGGGATAAGGAGTATTGTGATGGCTATATGCAGTGAGAAGCAAGGAAAATTATTCATATTAACCTCAGAAATAAATTATTTTAAACTGAGTAAATATTTTAGAAATATATTATATATATATTGCTTAATTAAATGGTGGTAATTTCTAACAAATTTCCTTTGTTTGTATCAGTACAGCACTGTGTTACTACTAGTTGTCTTCTTGCTACTGCTAAATGGTTGTTACAATAGTTATATGCCAAGTAAATCTGATAGTGCTTTGCAGAAAGGCAGAAATATATCTTCTTGTGCTTGATTGATTTGTCAGTGTTGCCAGAAAAACCTAGTTTTAGATAAGATACGAGTCATGGTATGTTTAGGAGTAACAGAATTTTTCAGCCTTCCTTGGAAAAGCTCTGAGTTTAAGAATCGTTAATTTGAAATAAGGCATTTATAATTTTATTTGGATTTTATTTTAGTATAAGTAGCTCGTTTATATATACTCCTGACTGTTAATGTAGCATGGATTTTAATGCTGTTCAAAAATAACTATTCCTTTAATCAACATGGTATATCATTTAATATTCTAAGTTGAGTGAGTTTATATAACCTAAAATACAAAGTGATTAATTTGTTCATTATTTTTAATGTGTTATATGCTTACTTTTTATTTTAACATATTTATAGCTGCTTAATCTAACACATTTTTTTCAGGTAGTTACTTCTGAAACTTGTTAACACTGATGCTGAAGGGAGAGATACTACATACAATACCAAATATTGTATGGATACATTGGTGTGGTGTAGAGTAAATAAAAAAATTGTCTAATTTCTCAGTAGCATTAGGCTACTGGTAAATAAATGAAAACAAAGTTTAGTAGTTTCTATATGCCCTCTCAAGTCCAATGTAGTCTTTGCACATTTTGTGGCAAGGTTTTTGTCTAAATTATTACTTTGTAAAACTTCTTGTTTTTTTCAGAGCACATTCAAATTTAAATCTGAGAGTGACATTCATCTGGCTGAGCACCATAAACAAGTGCTATATGATGGGAAACTTGCAAGTAGCATTGCTTTTACTTATAATGCGAAGGCTACTGATGCTCAACTATGCCTTGAATCCTCACCAAAGGAGAATCCTTCAATTTTTGTACACTCCCCCCATGCTCTTATGCTTCAGGTTTGTGCTGCTAAATTGATGTTATAAGATTCCTGTTAGCTGAACATCACTTCGATAACCAAAGGATTTGTGTGCTAGTGTACAGAGATTGTTATTTTGTATTATATAAGCTCTTAATATAGCTTTCACTTGACCTGTTCTTTCTTTGTTCATTTTCACTTGCAAGAAAAGATTATTTCTCCCTTAAGAAATATAGACTTCATACCTTATATAAGGCACAGTTTGCCATGATAAAGAAGTTTTTCTGTTTATCGTTTGCCTTAAATATAGTGATTATAATTTAAATATAAGTAATGAAAAAAAATTAAAACAAGTTTGCATTCAATTTGGTGTTAAAGTGCTCCCAAATTAAACTGTCCTTTAAAATTGAGATTAATTGAGGTTTTTCCTTTTTTTTATTAATTTAGGATGTGAAAGCTATTGTAACCCACTCCATTCACAGTGCAATTCATTCCATTGGAGGGATCCAAGTTCTTTTTCCTCTCTTTGCCCAGTTAGATAATCGACAGCTGCACGACAGTCAGGTGGAAACAACAGTTTGGTAAGCTACTTTCAACCAAGATTAAAACTAAATAAAGCTTAGAATATTTTTGTTTTTATTGTGGGAATGTGCTATATTTTTCTGCATTTTACCCTTGTTTCCTCGAAAAAAATATTATTTTTTGAAAAATAGTTTACTTTACAATATGTAAATTATACTAATCTGATGAGATTCCAGATGGAACTGGCATAAAATTGATATGAGTAAATAATGAATTCAAGTCACTCTAGAGTCTGTAAGAGTAGTTGGGTAGTGTTATGACAGTTCTTCCAACTTCTGAAAGAAACCAATGTGCTTTTACTTGACAGTGCAGTGTCAAGCTTCTCAAAGTCTGTGTCATTTGAATCTGTATTTCATAACATTCAATATTAATTCATTCATAATCAGAAAGTCATAGAGCTATGATCAGTTATCAGTCAAAATGTTAAAAATGTGGCAGTGACTGGGAACACACTGAGAGAGTTTTAAGCCAGGACCCAGGAAGTCTCTGCTCTAATACTATGGAAGACATCCCTAAGTTGAAAAGCTTGCACAGCTGTTAGATGAATGCTTCCATGTGTATCCTGAAAAGGACTATCTTAAGAGTCTGTCAGTACTCATGCTGACTTAAAATCATGGAATCCTTTAGGATGGAAAAGACCTTTAAGATATTGAGTCCAACCATTAACCGAGCACTGTCAAGTCCATCACTAAACCACGTCCCTAGATGCTACATCTGCACATATTTTAATTACCTCTGAGGATAGTGACTCCTTACTCAAAGCTAGCTCAGCTATAGTTATTTTTGGAAAGATGATCTCCTGCCACTTGTTTGTCAGAGCAGGCTCCTGTCCTAGTGTCAACATAGGATATTTAAACTTCTCAGTAAAAATGTGTGGCCTAAATCTTTGGAGGTAACAAAACTGAAAAGGTAGTGCTGAAGAACTGGTATAGTGTTTCCTTGTAGGATGATCTGTAACCAAAGCCTGATAAAAAGCAGTGTTTAGGGGCCACATAAGCTGACTTTTGTATTTGAATAAATTGTTAAAATAGATGCATAATGCAGAACACATGGCTTATTTTCCTGCTTAGAATATTATTCTATTAATTATTCTGGATATTTCCTATTGCATTAGATAGTTCATTAATAAATTAGTTAACTGAAAAAAAAACAAATACGAAAATTGCCAAAAAATTTGAAAAATTTAGTCAAAGTGATACATTGGCATAATTTCTCATGAAAGATCACTTGTCTCAATTTAAGAAATTAATCAATCTGGTGATGTTTTGTCAGTCATCTGTTTTCCCCTCTGGTAACTCAAGTATAGGTAGCTAAGATGACTGCTGGTTTTTATTTGTTTCTGTAGTGTGAAAAGTTGATGTATTTCATGAGAATATTTAAGTACAATGTTAGAAGTAATACCACTGTCTTAAAAATTGTGAATTCTACTTCCAAGCGGTATAGTGGTGCAAATTATTTTATTCAACATTAAAGACAGAAAAACTGGTTGTGTATTGGCTCATGTGGGATATTTACTTTTTCGTAGTCTGTTTTGCAGGATGTACCTTGCATATATGCAAGTATGGTGAAGTAAGGGAAATAGAAAAAGAATGCTTGGTTTGAAATAAACTCAGAAAAAAAAGTCCCTGTAAATTTTATGTACTGGCAAAGCAGTAGGCAAAAATGTTTTATTCTAATTTAAGGAAGATTATGTGTGTATGTGTCCCTACATAGGAATAAAATACATGTTAAATTCATTAATGATCTGAATCTGTAATAGAAGACTAAATAGAAACTAGATCTGTTTAAAAATTGAGAGCTAATGTAATATAAGTTTGAGAAGTTGAGATAAAGACTAATTCTTCCCAAGTGTGTGGTCTTCCCAGTGAGTGAGAACATTCATAATCAATTTAAAATGTACAGAACATTTCTGGAGTTTGTTGAACTATAAGCAGAAAAAAAAATTGTTCTTGAATAAGTGAATGCAGTTCTGCTATAATTAGATTATATTCTAAACAGAGATCTGTAATTCATTATGTGATTGTACGAATGCATAATACAAGAAGATGTGATCCTAACTCAAGAACATATTCAAAAAATTTTTAAGCAAATGGCTGCTTGATGAGATGTAACTTAAATGTTGAATTACCACAGTTTTGGTGTATGTGCATTATTTTATCATATTGTATTTAATGGGATATTGTTATTGAGAACAATAATACTTTAAGTGAACAATGAAGTAGGCAAATAATAGAACAAAAGATACTTCATGAAAGTATACTGTTATGTTTGTAAAGGCTTGTGTGGCTGTAGAATTTAATTTTTTCTGGTGGCCAAGTGGAGGAACGCAGAAGTTGTACCTCAGTTGTGCTGCCTTCTGTCCTAATGTTTCCTGGGAGGTGAGGATAAATACTTTGATATCCCGGTGTACGTGTCCTAGGTTTCCAGACTACTTTTCTGAATCTTCCTCACCTTCTCTCCTGGAAATACCAAAATCTGTTTAATAACTTCAGGGTTCTCAGTTATTTTTGTTGTTTGGTGGGGTTTTCTTTAACACTGGAAGAGGTTTGTTAATACGACTGTGAGGGAACACCTTGCTTTTCAATCATCTTGATCTGCTTACAACTGCAATTTTTCTATATTAATAGATTAATTGTAAATTAAATTTTAAATTACAAAACAGGGCAATATGAATATATCAAGTTTGTGTTTTAATGGTATTTTTAATAAATGTTCTTTATTCCTGTTTTACGTATACCCCTGTGTGCCTTATCTACATCTTCCATGAGACTAAGTATTGAAATTAACCTACAATTCTGCTTCTGAAACACTGAATAGATTCTTATGCTCTCATACGCTGAAATTAAAAAAATGGAAACTATTCATATCTTAAGTATTTTTTTCTCAGATGAAATAATGCACCTGCTGTTCAGGAGAGTGGTGCTTAACTACATTGCCAAGACTGCTACTTTTCAGCTTGCTTTTCATTACTCTGGTTAGAATAAAAAAATTAGCAGTTTAGGTCAATATGGTGTTTTATGTAATGAAAAGAAACATAGAGTGCTTGTGGTGCGCTGAACGTGACTGGATGCTAGCTGCCCACCAAAGCCACTACATCACTTCCCTCAGCTGGCAGGGGAGAGAAAATATATCAAAAGGCTCTTGAGTCAAGATAAGGGCCGGGAGAGCTCATTCCCCAGTTACTGTCACGGGCAAAACACACTCGACTTGGGGAAATTAGTTTAATTTTTTACCAAACAAATCAGAGTAGGATAATGAGAAATAAAACCAAATCTGAAAGACATCTTCCCTCCACCCCTCCCCTCTTCCTGGACTTAACTTCATTCCTGATTTCTTGATCTCCTTTCCTCAATGGTACAGGGGAATGGGGAATGGGTGTTCCAGTCAGTTCATCACACGTTATCTGTGCGGCTTCTTCCTCCTCAGCGAAAGGACTTCTCACACTCTTCCTCTGCTTCAGCATGGGGTCCCTCCCACAGGAGACAGTCCTCCATGAACTTCTCCAATGTGGATTGCACAAGGCTGCAGTCCTTCAGGAGCAGACTGCTCTAGCATGGTCCCCACAGGGTCACAAGTCCTGTCAGCAAATCAGCTCCCACATGGGCTTATCCCTCCATGGGCCCCCAGGTCCTGCCAGAAGGCTGCTCTGATGTGGGCTTCACACGGGGTCAAAGCCTCCTTCAGGCATCTACCTGCTCTGGTGTGGGGCTCCTCCATGGGCTGGATATTTGCTTCACTATGGACCTCCAGCCTCACCATGTTCTTCACCAGGGGCTGCAGGGGCATCTCTGCTCCCATGCCTGGAGCACCTCCTACTCCTCCTTCTTCACTGACCTTGGTGTCTTCAGGGCTGTTCCTCTCACATATTCTCACTCCTCTCTCTGGTTGCAGTTGTTGGGTGGTTTTTACCCCCACTCTTTTATGCCAGAGGTGCTGCCTCTCTTGCTGATGGACTTGGCCTTGGCAAGCAATGGGTGTGTGTTGGACTCAGCCAGTGTGTTGGACATGGGGAAAGCTGACAGCTTCTTACAGAAACTGACCCTGCAGCCCACCTGCTATCAAAACCTTGCTATGCCAATCCAATACAGTGTTTTTTTCTATTATGAAGCTGCTGTTTTTACATTTGGTTAAATGATATGGTAATATGATAGGAATTGGCTTTGTTCACTTGTGATGTCTTGTATACGGTTATAAACTAATTTGAGTCTGCTGAGCATTGACATACAGACTGACTCTGACAAGGTACTGGGTGTGCAGTCTTTGGTACTGACCCAGTTTCATCCCAGAATAAATAACAAGTGTTAATTCAGATGAGATTGTTGCTTCGGACTGTACTATATTGGGAAAACATTTGAAAATAGAGGGAACTGTATCAGTTTCATTAAATAGGTGAAATCATTCCAAGAATTGTTTTACATACTTTTTCTAGAAGTTCTTAACTGGATTCACTAGATTGCATACACAATGCAATAAAATTTAAAAATACATCTACTGTTTATCATACTAAATAAATACAGTGCCTTAACTCCTTAAAGGTGATATGTACACCCACCTAGAATTTGTAGCAAAGTAAATGTAAGCAACTTTTCAGACAGTTTTATAGCTGACTCTATGTTCACTATTTAATATACATAGCCCTCTTACAGAGTGTATTGCCCACCTATTCTAAGTCGGTGATATGGAGACATTGTTGAAGGAGGCAACAACTCCTGTTCTCTATAAAGTTTATGAAAGTTCCTTTCCCAATGTTAAAATGTAAATGTTTAATGTGTTTTGCTTTGATCAATTAATATCTCATTAAATTTTTCTTTTTTTTTTTTTTTTACTATTTTTTATATTCAGATTATGAGGTTTTAGGTTCCTATCTAGTAGTGTTGCTGCATCTACTTTTTAAGATTAATAGTTTGATAAAAGATAGGCAGTTTTCCTATCAGTTTCTGCAGATATGAAACAGCACAGCTGGACAGGAATTAGGATTTGATGTATTGATTTTTTTATT